AAAAAAAAAAAAAAAGAATTATTGCAAAAGTGGCCTAAAGGAAGGGACTATTGCAGTAGGATGTGGGAACTATTACAACAGAGAGAACCCTGATCATTAGGTCTGTAAACATCTCAGAAGTTAACACATAGTTTTCCTGATGTACAGAGCAAAAAAGCTAGAAAGCAGTCAGTGTGGGCCGTGGGGTAGATGAGAGAAGGCTGAGGCCTGGATGCTCCGAGGAAGCATGAGCTGCGGCCAGCTCAGGCCCGGCAGTTCCTCCAGAGGCCTGGAGGAAGGAGAGCAGCTTAAACCAGTTACACAGTTTTGTTCCAGCTGATTGTTGGGGGCAAGCAGATAAGCCGATTATTGTTAAATATTTTTATTAGTGCCTATTTTATGAAATGGTGGATTTCAATGTGTGTATTTTGATCATATACATCCTCTGTATTACCTGCTCTAACAGCTACCCCATTCCCTTCCTCTAATAAGAATCTCCCTTTTTTTTTTTTGATATCAGGAATTAAACTCAAGCCGGGTGTGGTGGCACACACCTGTAATCCCAGCACTCATGAGGCTGAGGCAGGAGGATTGTTGCCAGTTCGAGACCAGCCTGGGCTACAAAGGGAGCTCAAGTCCAGCCTGAACTGTATAGGGAGACCCTGTCTCAAAAAGACAAAAAAAAAAAAAAGAATTGAATTCAGGACCTTGCACTTGCCAGGCAGGCATTGGGCTGCTGAGCTATATCCCCACCCTCCTTTCTACTTTCATATTTTCTTTTTCAGATTTAATTTATTAGGGAGAAAATGTGCTGTTGGTCTTTCTGAGTGTGGCTTATTTTGCTTAGTATGATGATGTGCAGATCCATTCATTTCATGCAAATGCCATTCTTTATGGCTGAGTATGCCACACTGTATACCATGTTTCTTTTATCCATTTATCTGCTGATGGGCACCTAGGTTGACACCATATCTTGGCTATTGTGAATATAACTGCAATAAGCATGGATATGCAGGTATCCCTATTATATGATGACCTTAATTCCTTTGGATGTATACAACAGAGTAGTATAGCTGGATCCTATAATAACTCAATTTTGTTTTTAGTTGTTAGGTTCTTAGGGGAAGTTTTTTGTTGTTTTTGGTTGGGTTTTTTTTTTTACTAGGGATTGAACCCAGGGCCTCCACACTGAACTGAAACCTCAGCCCACTTTTACTTTTAATTTTGAGACAGTTTTGTGAAATTGCCCAGACTAAATGCAAACTTGCAGTCTTCCTGCCTCAGCCTCCCAGAGTGTTGGGATCATAGGTGTGCACCACTGTACCTGGTGTCTACTTTTAGTTTTTTGAGAAACCACCATACTGATTTCCACAGGGCCTGTGCTAATTTAATTCCCAACAGCTGTGCAAAAGAGTTCGTTTTTTTCCCCTCTGCATCCTCACCAGCATTTACTTTTTGTATTTTTTTATTTTAAAGAGAATGTTAAAAAATTAAAAATGATACACAATTTCAAAACAAGATGATAGGAAATAATTTTTTAATTTATTATTTTAAAAAAACACAAAGTCAAATTTCTTGGTTTTGGTTCTCATTTCACAGAAAAAGTGTAATGGAACAAACAGATGGTGGGTGAGAAGGAGAAAGGATCTGGGGTTCATTGTACTTTCTCTTTTCCTTAAAGAGAGACACTTGGCTGCCCACCAAATGCATGGATGTATGCTGCCCTACCTTTTACAGCCATGTATAATAAAATTTTCCCATTGCCCAACGGATGTCAGGGTCATGCGCCCTTTATCACTGTTAAGTCAAGGCAGGAGTGCAAGTAACAGTCCAAAGTCGGTACCTCACACTGCTCAGAAGAGCGTTGACAGTATTTATGCTCTGTACATTGTGTATTTCATATGTAAGGTCGTCAGGTCTGGGAAATATGTCAAATTATAAATAGAACTTTTTTTTTTCCGCCGGTACCAGAAATCGAACTCATGACCTCATGCTTGCCGGGCAGGTGCTGTGCCACTGAGCTAAATCGCCAGCCCCAAGACTTTTTTTTTGCCTTTTTGAGACAGGGTCTCACTGTGCAGTGCAGGCTGGCCTTGAGCTCACTTTGTAGCCCAGGCTGGTCTCAAACTCGCAGCGATCCTCCTGCCTCAGCCTTCCAAGTGCTGGGATTACAGGCATGTGCCACCACGCCCGGCTCCCAAGACTTTCTTTAGAAATGCAGTACACATTGTTGCTGCCACTCCTCTCTTTTGCTCTTGTTGCCCTCCGCCATGTGCCACTCTGCCTTGCAGTCAGCCAATTGTGGACTGAAACCTCCATAAACTGTGAGCTAAATAAACCCTTCCTTCTGTAAAAAAAAAAAAAAAAGAAATTCAATACACAAAACTTTGTAATTCCTACATTTTTACATTCTTTCATATTTTAGGGAAAACTGTGAGTTCCTTTGTAATTCCAAGAATAGTAATTTTTTTAAAAGTTACTTGAGTATGGTAGTTTGGGCTACATAGTGAGTTCCAGGCCAGCCTGAACTACATAGGGAGACCCTGTCTGTCTCAAAAGAAAATAAAGGTTTTTTTAGGCAGAATTAAAGTACACACTCAAAGAAAACAGAGTGCAGGACCTTGAAAGAGTCACTTTGTAGCCCAGGCTGGTCTCCAAGTTGCAAGGATCCTCCTGCCTGGGCCTCTTGAGTGATTACAGGTGTGTGCCACCACGCCTGGCTCGTT